AAAAACGTCGAGTCGCCCAGCATTATGTAAGCTGTGTAAGTCAGTATCTGGCAGTTTAAATCATGATAAACGATGAAAAAAACAACATTAAACTCTTATAATTGCAATTCTTTATAATTTTAATATTTTTGTTATGTTTTTAAAAATATTTTCAATCAGTTTTAAAGCATTATTTAAGCGAAAGAATTCTTGGTGAAGACGTCGTGTACGTAGCTATTTATATATCGAGATTTTCCACCTGAAACGAAATAAATAATTTTACCAATGGTGGGCGATCTAAGGCTTTGAACATTTTACAGCATGGTCTTAATCTTTTATCTAAATTAGCATTTGTGATCTGAGTAGAAGTTGAATATTCAAACCAAATGATGTGTTGTTTTGTTTGACATACGAATGACCTTTGGATTTGATGTTCTCATGAGTTTATTGTGTCTTGGCCGAATCGTTATTGTTCAGACACGTGAGTAACCAATTTTTGTTTTATAACGTCTATTTTCGTGTTCAATAACTGTTTAGGATAGCTACTGAAGCTAAATACAAATGAAATTAAGATTATCGGAAAATAGTCCAATAGTCAAACACTGCTAGACATCGACCATGACAGTTACTATGGGGGAGTAGCGGAATATTTTCCCATCCTATCCCCCACATCGCAACCATCAAGACCGACGTCTTACATATTGTAGGACTGTTAATCCATTTGTTATAATGTTAGTCTTTGAACCCTACTCCTCTCATTCCCGATATCAAATTTACCTATAGTTTTAAATTCGTTTGTAACAAACTGCAGTGAAAGTGCTGTACAACATAGCCCCAATGTTCTTCCTGGCAGATCTTTTTGTTACCCAGCTTTTTTAGATCTAATCAAGGAAAGAATTATTTATCTTAGCAAAAAGTCTAAAGATTTGTTATTTGATTATGACAAATTAATTTATTAAATTCTATGTCTAAAATATTAACCCACCATTTTATGTCGTTTTAAAGGCATACAGTGCGTATACCTTTCGATTCAGTGTTTACTTTAGTTACTTTGCACGTGGCTCCATTTATTGAAGTATAAAGTAGTTCTCCGTACAGTTTATAGAGAAATAAACGCGATTACATCTGATCACATGGTTATGTCTTGACCAATGGAAACTTTCCCCACATTTATCAACAGATGCAGCTGCAATTATAGTGTGAATAAACCATGCAGAACTGTAGTTCCAGAAGTAAATAAACTATGCACACATGTAGTTCCAAAGAGTGAATAAATTATGCAGACCTGTAGTTCCAAAGAATGAATAAATAATGCAGACTTGTAGTCCCAAGGAGTGAATAAACTATGCAGACCACTAATATCAAATATCAGAGTGAATAAAATATGCAGACATTTACAAAAGAGTCAATAAACGATGCAGACCTATAGTACTAGCGAGTGAATATACTTTGAAGACCTGAAATACTAGAGAGTGAATATACTTTGCAGGCCTGTAATACTAGAGAGTGAATAAACTTTGCAGACCTGTAATAACAGAGGGTGAATAAGATTTACAGACCTGAAATACTAGAGAGTGAATACACTATGCAGACATGTAGTACTAGATAGTGAATAAACTGTACAGATATGTAATAATAGAGAGTAAATAAGCTTTGCAGACCTGTAGTATCGAAGAGTGAATATAAACTATACAGACTTGTATTATCGAAGAGTTAATATAAACTATACAGACTTGTAGTATCGAAGAGTGAATATAAACTATACAGACTTGTAGTATCGAAGCGAGAATAAACCATGCATACCTGTAGTACTAGGGAGTGAATAACTTAGGCAGACATGTAGTATCGAAGAGTGAATAAGCTATGCTAAAGATACATATATAAAACTCAGTCATTAAGATCAGTTAATTTAGTTGTATTTCATGGGCCGTGGCCTTTAATACCCTTTTAGTTTTATTTCATGGGCCGTGGCCTTTAATACCCTTTTAGTTTTATTCCATGGGCCGTGGCCTTTAATACCCTTTTAGTTTTATTCCATGGGCCGTGGCCTTTAATACCCTTTTAGTTTTATTCCATGGGCCGTGGCCTTTAATACCCTTTTAGTTTTATTCCATGGGCTGTGGCCTTTAATACCCGTTTAGTTTTATTCCATGGGCCGTGGCCTTTAATACCCTTTTAGTTTTATTCCATGGGCCGTGGCCTTTAATACCCTTTTAGCTTTATTTCATGGGCCGTGGACTTTAATACCCTTTTAGTTGTATTTCATGGGCCGTGGCCTTTAATACCCTTTTAGTTTTATTCCATGGGCCGTGGCCTTTAATACCCTTTTAGTTTTATTCCATGAGCCGTGGCCTTTAATACCCTTTTAGTTGTATTCCATGGGCCGTGGCCTTTAATACCCTTTTAGTTTTATTTCATGGGCCGCGGCCCTTAATAGTCTTTAAAAAATACATTTAATAAATATTTATAGGGTAAAGAACATAAATCTATAATGTATCATGTTGAATCCTTCTTATTGTATGTAGATTGCACAAAATGTTATGCAAGTGTCGCGTGTTGGAACCCAGAATACAACCCGGGAGAGCCAAAGTTTAAAGCGATAATGCTACCGCAGCTGGTTGGGTAAAAGGAGTGGATAATGAAAATCTCTCTCTCTCTCTCTCTCTCTCTCTCTCTCTCTCTCTCTCTCTCTCTCTCTCTCTCTCTCTCTCTCTCTCTCTCTCTCTCTCTCTCATTATAACATTTAACTCATTAAAACTGGATAGTATTGATAGCATGTGTATGTGTACGCATCTGTCGATTTTTGGGTGCGCCAAGTGTGTGCTGTAACAATCAATTGCAAAAATTACAGGCTGCACCTTTATTTCATCGGTTTTGGGATGGTATCATTATCAGGGAATTTCGAAATCGATCGCTCATTATTTGTGTAAATAAATGATGAGCAAATTATTTAAAATACATCATAATGGATTTCAAAAACAACATTTATGCAATTAAAGGAATTCGACAGAGATTATCAAAATAGCCGAGTAATAGACAGTAGGTATTTGAAATTCAAAATTGTTTACAGAATTAAAGTTATATTTAAATTCTCTCTCTCTCTCTCTCTCTCTCTCTCTCTCTCTCTCTCTCTCTCTCTCTCTCTCTCTCTCTCTCTCTCTCTCTCTCTCTCTCTCTCTCTCTCTCTCTCTCTCTCTCTCTCTCTCTCTCTCTCTGTGTTGATGTTTTGATATATCTCTTTAGGATCATTTCTGAAAGTGAACTTACATGTTCATTTAATGCAAAATGTTTTCGTTTATGAGTTCTTTCATCCGTTTGATTTTTCACTATTCGTTCACTTATTCATACAAGCTTTGTATCAAGAAAGAAGAGGCTTGCAGACCAGCAGGAGAACAGCAAGTAAATGTTATAAACATGCGGCATTTTTGGTTTGTTTGTTTTCTTGCTTGCTTGCATGGTGGGTTTAAGAAAATAATGTACACCCACATCTATTTTTGGCTGTGTTGCCAGCTTTTTTCCTTATCCTGTGAGAACTACCAGCCTTGTCTTTCTTTCACACTTGTATCTGCTTTGTTACATCCCGATCTAACGCAGAAAAAAAGTTACCTTCAGAACTAATTTCAAAGAAGTAACTGCTGGTACACATGTATGGAAATAGGTAAGTTCACAAATGCTAGGATACAGACTTAAACCAACTTTATACTTACCTACTAATAGTCTGAAATAAAAAAGGAAATAAAAAAGCAATATATCAATTTGCAAATTGACAACATGATATGCAGATGGAAAAAACTGATGCAACTGCGATGTCTTGATAGTGCCATTTGTTATTTTAATGGGAATCCTTCTGAGCTTTCGGTATGTATCTGCAAGCCTTGTTTAATAACAAAACGAAAGAGAAACATACCACAATCTTTAGTAAATATATCATGACAAAAAAGAACCAACTATATTTTATTTTGTTCTGATAACAAAGGCATTAAAACTCAATCTTCATGATAGCAAGTTTTTTTTTAAAAACTCAATATTAAAAATTACTAAAGCAGACAGACTTGGGATATTTTGAAAATCAAAATTCACAATCACTTCAGATAATACGTAATTAAAGAGAAATAGCAATTCAATTGAAAAGATACAGATATACGACGTTGAAAAAAGCTTTTAACAGACTACGACATTTTCCTGATAACTAAGAGCGGAAGATGCTATAGAAATGACATTATACCACGGAGATACTTCGAACCAAACCATGTATACTACACTAAGATGGAGAGACATAGTCTGATTGTAAATATAAAACATCATGGTCAAGGTCGTTTATTATGCATGTATATGAAAATAGCCTATGTTTACATGCCATGAGCAAAGACACGCTGAAGAATTATATGGGCAACAAATAAACACATATAACATTTTGAATAAGTGTTGTTCAAAAACCATATGACTAAAATTATTGATGTATTTTAGAAGTGTTTTTGGATGCCACATTACACTTGCATAATTATTTTCAAGAATTACCCATTAGCTCCAGAAATCTTAATTATTTATCAGACTTACAGAACTTCTTGATATTGATTGCAAGAGGGCAGAGTCATCTGTACCAATACTATTGGGTACACTGATATACAAAGACAAACAACCTAAAGCTATAAGCTGTACATACAGCTGAAATCGCTTTTTTGATCGTCAACCATGGCTGAAATGCAAATTTGAGGCAAACTGCTAATAATGATTTCAAGAAAAACCATTATTATAGTTAATGATCAACGACGTGTTTGGAAAACAGACTCATAATCTCAGAATAAACAACAGCAGAAAAAATGTGTACAAATGAAAACACAAAAGTTAAAGTTCTAGATATACACAAATATGAAAATATCCTAGAAATTTATTATGGGAGAAGAAATCAAATCCAATTTTTCATTTAGCATTTACCAATTGTTCAAATGATTCTGAAGCTAACGTTTTCCAATTTGTAGTATTAGTTTCAAATTCCTGTCATGTCATAGGCTTTATGGATCGCTCCAGTGGCCTAATGGTTGGAGCGTCCGCCTCGGGTGCGGGAGTCCGCTGGTTAGAATCCCGGCCGAATCATACTAAAGACTTAAAAATGGTACTCACAGCTGCTTCGCTTGGTGCTAAGCATTAAGAGGTTAGTGTTAGGACCGATCTGCCTGATGTCAGGATAATGTGACTGGGTGGGAAATCATGCTACATGTCTGCGGGATGATGCCCAAGTTTTAGACATCACTATAAGCTATCACACTGCAGACATCGTTGCGATATGACTGAAACGTTTTTAAAGCTAAGTTGCAAATGCAAATCACACACACACGCACAGACACGCACGAAAACACACACACACACACACCTACAGAGGCTTTAGGAAGTGTTATGTTAAATCTGAGTCCTACAGAAGAATACATTTGTAAGAATTGAATTGAAATAGTAGCTCATTTGTAAGAATTGAAAATTATAATGCCATTTAAAACATTTTGCATAAACTAAAACAGAATATCATCAGTTTCAGTATATTGTTCTTTACCACCTCTTCATCGTTATATTCTCATTTTTATCCTTGACGGTTACTTGTTCAGCCTTTTGCTTTAAACGAAACAAGTAACCGGAAATATTTGATTTGTCATAAGATCTGGTCATCATTCGTTTGCAAAGTGATCGTTATCGCATGATATGGAATCGTATTCAACAAGAGTTCCACCCAGACTGTTACCATAGCATTTTTAGCATCTGCTTATACATTCATACAACAACAACACGAAGACAGTATCTGGGCTTAATTTTGGCATTGTTCTCTGTAAAGGTTGCTCAGATTTAATGATACCTGAAGTAGATGTTATACAGTGGTTCATCGAGTTGAAGGGTGCAAACGAAAAAAAAAACTCATCGTGAATAGAAGTGGACTATTACATAGCTTTGCAAGCAATAAACACACTGTGACGCATAACAGATGCATGAATATGCATTCGTATTTTCTCTGTTAATCTGAAGGCCCGGCAAAGTCATTCATTCAATATAGCACTTTATCTTTAAAGCGATAATGGATCGTTTTTGCAAATATTCTGCAGAGGAACAGTCAAAGAGCACGTAATTATGCCGAGAGAAAGGATTCCAGCCCTAAAATATTCTCTTCAGTTTGTATCCTTCGTTTTGACAATTGGGTCTGTGATAAGTGGTTCCAAAATCTCTCCCTTCCAATTTCTCTAACAAGATCTGTATTCAAATCTTGTTTTGACTCTGCGTTGTTTTTTGTTCTTTAATTTTTTTGTTGTTGTTTTAGTTTTTCTGGATTGCATTTTTTATGTCTTGTAATCAAATATTCAACTTGTATTTAATTTCACTGTCACCAATTGTGTTGGTGATGTACATCTCTTACTGTTTCATCATGTTTAAAAACTTCGTTTCAGATAAAATGATCTTGCTGGAAGAATCGGCAACAAATCCTATTACTGGTGATGCAAACACACTAATAGGAACTATATCCTGCAACATATTAGACATATAGCAAATGAAACTTTTTAAACACTTTAAAATGGTATGTGCATTTCTTTTCAACACAACTGCGTTGTTTAGCCTGACCAAATAATTTTAATGTCCTTAATGTTTTACACTCTTAAATGCATTTCCAGTTGCACTATATCTGTCATCCAACGTGAGAGGCTCTGAATGATATAAAGTATGTGCACTTGATACGTTCTCGCTCATGCATCTGCGGAAAAGATATAGCAATCTGTACTCCAAGCTCACATGCAGAGCACAAGTTTGGGATGGTAAACGATTTTAATGAAGCTATAGATGTTATGCCTTTCTCTGTGCCTGTGCTTCGTACACTCTACACAAACTCTACAGGTTGTGCTCTTGTAAATCTATAACCTTAACATTGTGCATAGCAAAGTATATGCTATTCTCCCTTGGATTCATGATGAAACTAGACATATAATAGTGTTTTGTACGTGGTGTACCGGATGTGAAATACTTTTGGTCCGTAGATACACTTTTAATGTGTCTGAAGAGTAAACTAATAGCTGCACTAAGCATGCAGAAATGTATTGGGTAACAGTTGTATGTGTCAGTAACACGTAAGATATGAGGTAGTAAATTGAAAAATTGGCTACATGAGGTTCCAATAATCAGTTGAAAAACTACTTCTATATTAGTGCTTAATGGTTGAGCTACAGTAAGCTTTAAGAGTTCTACCTAAAGTACTTTGTAGGCTGCCATAAGAACAAAGTTATTATCCAAAACAATGATCATTCTTGGATTACGTATTTGATTGTTTCTCTAGTTCACGTGCTGAGCACAATGTAGACTTGGTTTAAAGTTATTTCTGTTCTTTGTACATGTTTTTGCCGCTTTGATTGTACCTCGGGTACAAATTGCGTTCGGTAAGATGCGACTAATCTCTAGTTGTTATAGTTTATCTGAGCTGTATGATGTGGATATATTCTGTTTTAATAACGTTGTATATAGTACAGTGAACGAAGTTTTTCTTTTTCCTTCAAAATGTTTAGATTTTAAGATTTCTTAAGTCTTATTTGTGTGTGTATGTGTGTGAGTGTGTGTGAGAGAGAGAGAGAGAGAGAGAGAGAGAGAGAGAGAGAGAGAGAGAGAGAGAGAGAGAGAGAGAGAGAGAGAGAGAGAGAGAGAGAGAGAGAGAGAGAGAGAGAGATTTGGATTTGTAACGTAGCATTCATATTTTTTCTGGCATACCTCTGCGATGCCTGCAGTGTGGCAGCCTAAATTGATGTCTAGCACTGGGGAATAATGCTACAGACATGTAGCATGATGTCCCACCCAGTCACAAAATCCTGACACCAAGTCGACCAGTCCTAACAATAACTTCTTAATACTGAGCACCAAGCGAGGCAGCTATTATTACCATTTTTATGTCTTTGGTATGGCTCGGCTGGAGTTCTAACCTGCGACATCTCGCATCCGAGGAGTACATTCTAACAACTTAGATCACCAGATTAGTCTTAATTATTGTGATCGATTACAATGTTATTACATTCTTTCATCTTTTGGCTTTTGTGAACTCTTTATTACGTTAGGCGATTTGTCTAAGATTCGTCAAGCTTTTTGTCGTATTCACTTCCCATTTATTTGCAAAGAATGTCAGAGAATTATGATTAATATAATTTAAACGTGATGAAATAACTAGTTATAAACCTTCATACCAAATGAAACATGTGCAAAGCACGAACTTTCTTTGCTATTTTATATATGAAAACTTATTTTGAAGCTTAATTGGATAAATAAAAAGTATGGATACCAGGCTATATCCATAGTTTGAAAAAGATACAGACATTTCTAAATTTAGCAGTCGTTATTGCAAGCCACGTAGACAAAGATATAACATTCATTGATGAATCAGTGATGTTGCAAACAAAAATATCAAGCTTATAAACCTACAGGATTTAGTAAATATTGTTGATCTCTAAATGATCAGCCAAAGGTGTTTCATGAATTTCTTGCGTATACTACTTTATAACCATAATTTGATAGTTTACTGATCACCAGCAGGTACCCAGAGTGGGCTCAATTTTCTCCTAAGGATAGCATTTTTAATAAAATAATAAACAGGTACTTCTGTGACTTCAGTTTCGCCAATAGTCATCTGAAACAAACAGATCTTACCACCTTTTTCCTGTTCGACGACAAGTGAAATGAGTAATAAAAGGAGAATCACTGAGATCATACCTATTAAAAGAGGGACAAAGGTGATCATAACAAAAGCCGGACCAATATATGGGTCAGCTAAAGGAATACTTTCCTGATCAACTACATTATCAAAAGCATTCTTTTCCATAGCACAAGATGGGTAAAAGTCATAAATTTCTTGTTCAATATCAACTTTTGATCAAAACAAAACTTATCAATTACAAATGGACTTACAACAATCTTATCTCCACTTAGGTCACTGCCTATCAACGGCAAATAGCATCGATGGGTAAAGAGCAAACTATTCCAACTGTCACGGTTCCTCCGACTAAGTCTAATGACAAATTTACACAACAGACAGAAACATTAACGAAGCTGCACTCATCTCCCTGAATAAGACCATTCTCATTAGAAGAATGAGTCTCAAAAAAGGCAAAGAACCTCATCATATAAAACTCTGAGAAGCTCTGTGTTCCTTAAATTTTTACTAGGAATAGGATTGGCAGAATCATTAATGAGTGATATATGAATGATCCATAATAAAATCAGACTGTGATTTGTTTAACCATACAAATGTATTGCTTTCAGTACACGTCCGTGACCTTGATGTCTTAGAAATACGAGCATTTTGGAATAAGTCTGACATGATTGTTTGCTTATTTTCAATTTGTAGTAATTAGAAATATCATACCATTTCCTTTTGCTGTCGGGTGCGCATTGAAAGAGAAAGGATTTCTGATCAGGCTTTTATCAGAAACCTAATTTCTGAAAGTTGTCCCAGATTGAGATTTGGAGGTGCTCGTATTAGAATGAAATAGTTTTTCTTTACAAGAAGATTGCTGAATTGACGACATTTTGACAAAGGACACTTTATGAGCTAAGAATACTCGTTAGATGCGTGAACAACATTTTCTAAAGTTTCGATCTTGTGTTCGTCAAAGTAAGTCCTAATGTCACTATGGACGTAATTCGTGCACTCTTCAACTAATGTGGATTTTCTGACCTCGTAATCGTTATTATACATTTAAGAAGAGCACCATTATCAAAATGTTATGCATTTCCTATGCAAATGCAACAAAGGTTTGGTCAGTTGATCTTCAACAATTCCCAAACCCTTGCTGATAAACATCATGTATTAACTCACAACCCTTCGATACGCATTCCTTAATCATACACAGCATATTGCCGCAATGACAGTAAAGTTTAGATGACTTGAGCTTTGCAAAAAAGTGCAGTTTATAATAACATAGTCCAGTGTTCTCTTGGGCATTCTGAAAAAAATTTAGCAATTTATTTTTATCTAATTCTTTCTTTAAAGGGGTACTAACGTAATATTCTGTTAATAACACCAAAACATGGACTTGAGTCAAAACTGGAGATTTGCATTTCATTTCCCTCCTCTAATTCATTTTGAT